GGCGGTGGTGGTGGTAGTGGTGGTGGTGGTGGTGGTGGTAGTGGTGATGGTGGTGTGGCGGCGGCGAGGGCGGCAGGGGTAGCACACGAGTGCCGGAATAATTACCGGCGTGTCTGAATAAGCAATAAAAGCATTTTCAGGTGCGGGCTCGGCTTTTCCCGGAATACTTGGGGAAAACGTAGCGTGTAACGGTTTTACCGCGTTCTTGCTCTCTCCCTCTCTCTCTCTCTCTCTCTCTCTCTCTCTCTCTCCCTCTCTCTCTCTCTCTCTCTCTCTCGCTCTCGCTCTTCACGACGCTCTCTGAACATTAGACTCGCCACTGGCTAGATTCCATCCGCGATTCCGGCTGACCTATATATATTTTTTCCACGTTCCACGGACGAAAAGATTTTGGAAAGTGCCGTTGGAAAATTCAGTACTTACCTATCGCCTCCACCACCGCCGGCGCGAACGAGCGAGCGAGCGAGCAAGCGAGCGTGCACTTGAGTTTCGTTTAATTTTCCGACGTATTTACCTGTCGATTCCCGACGTTTGTTCACTTGTCTATCGACTTCGCGTGCGCACGAGTGCAGTTTGCGCGACGGCAATTACGCCTGTTAATTTTCAAGCGTTTCTCTCATCAACATACTCCCCGCCGGACGGATCGTCGTCGCCGTCGCTGCCGCTAAATTGTCGCGTACGGCGATTGCAAGTACGGCCGAATGTGCGCATGCGGGCCAACAATTTGCGCGCTTGCCTTCTTCCACTTGGCGCGGACTAAATACCCGGAGAAATTACGGTATGCGCGATAGTCGGACGGTGCGCTTCGGCTGCGCATAGGCTACACGGGACAGTTTAATGCCTTATGAATAAAGGCGATGGGCTACCTCAGGCAGTCTCGTGTTCTGCTCGAGGAGACTCGCTCGTGCCGGCGGGTTCTTTCCATTAATAAGACGTTGCTCGTTAAAAATGAAGTCTAGCACTTCGTTGCTTTCCCCCATCCTCTCTCTCCGTCTCTCTCCGTCTCTCTCTCTCTCTCTCTCTCTCTCTCTCTCTCTCTCTCTCTCTCTCTCTCTCTCTCTCTCTCTCTTCCGTCTCGTAACTGCACACGCTTACGACGTGGTTCGTCAGTATTAAAGCTAATTGGACGCGATCGCGGTAAATGCGACGTCATGGCGAATGTAGCGAGCGTGCGCGATGCAGCAGGAAGCATCGTTCCCCGATGACGGTGTAATTGATAATCGCCTCGTTTCCCGATCACAGCTGCCGATCGCTCGATAAGACTGCTCGCGTCGCGTTAAATAAACGGCTGACACGCTTAACTGGCTGTTTATGGTGACACTTTTATCGGGAAGTTTGCGGAGGCGCCAGACGGGAAATCATTTATTCGCAGGGTAATAAAAAGAGAAGATAAATGGGCGATGACGCTCTGCGTCTCGCTCTATGTACATCTACAGCGTCTTGTGTAATACATTAAAATCCTAAACACCTCGCCGTAACGATCTGCGTCGTGCATTTCGCGGCTGAACTTATGTAAGCACTCAGCGCCCGACGTCTTACTGCGTTACATCAACGGCTCTCTCTCTCTCTCTTTCGTAAGGGTAGAGCGTATTGTCGAGCCGAGGCTCTCCATCGAAAAGCCTCGAGCGGTTTCATCCCTCCCGCTCGCGCACACTTGCTGTCGATTTACCTTCGCGGGCCGTCGTTTCGCGAGTCTCGCTCTCTTATTCACTCTCTCTCTCTCTCTCTCTCTCTCTCTCTCGCTCTTTCACTCCCTGTATCTTCCTCTCTCTCTTCGCTCCTTTCCCGCCTCTCCCGCCCCTTTCTTTCTTTTTCCCCCCCGAGATGCTGATGCTCGTTTTCGCTGAAAAATGAGCGCTTCTTGCGGCTGCGGTCGTTCGTCGAATTGCGCGTCGTAAATTAGCTCGCGTTCCAGACGGACATAGGCGGGGGTAGAAACGGGGGGAAGGAGGCAGAAAAAAAATACGTTTCTGCGCAGAAATCCATCCCGCCGCCATCGTTGCTGAATGGGTGCGCGCGCGCGCGCGCGCGCGCGAGGGGCGGAAGGAGGGAACGTGGCGTAGGTACGTGTGTAGGTGCAGCCTGGAACGGCAGCGCGAGGTGAAGCGAAAGAAATGCGACCTCTCGCACGGGCGAGTGCGCCGCTTGATCCTTTCCGTTGGTCTTTGCCGGCGGGATGTCTTGCATCAATCTCCGGTCGTGCTTCGACGGAGGCCAATCGGCGTTGGACGAATGGACGCAGAGATGCAGAGAGAAAGAGAGAGAGAAAGAGAGAGAGAGAGAGAGAGAGAGTTACGAATCTCACGTGGGAGCTCTCTCGCGCGTAAGGGAACGCGTTGTCGCTTCTTCGTGTCGCGTTATCCGAGGATTGCTCGTGTCTCATGTGTCCGTAGGATACATCTTCCTTTGGGATACCGTACCGCTCGTCGCGGAAAAGGGACGTGTTATGTCCCAGGACGATTATTAACCCCTCGTCTTGGCATCGAACAGCGTGTCGAGTATCGTGTCAAGATAAGCTCAATTTTCGGTCTTTTGCCCGCGTCTTATATTTCTCTTCTCCGCGTCCCTAGATAATACAAATATACTACTCGATGGTTTCACGATGGTTAATCCTTTGCTTGTTTCTCGTTATTTCGCGTCCAAAGAAAATAGTGTTGGTAGATCGTTACATAACTTATGTCGGATATCCTCGCTTTTCGCGGGCGTTAATTGCTCGACTCGTAAGACGTAGTCGTAGACGCTCGACGAGAACGAAAGTATACGTTGCAGTTGTATTTGCAGTCGGATGTACTTTGCGTAATCGCGCGGAACTCCTGCAAGAGTCCCCCCCCCTTGTCCCAACAGAATGTGACATCGAGCCCGAGTTTGCGACCGATAACGGGCACGTTACTCGGTTGGCCAAGGCGCAAAGTCCGAAGGGAGGTGACGACTCCGAGGCAAAGGGTTGATTGAATATCGCACAATCGAACGGGCAAGAGCGTCTTCGTAACAGTCGTCCCGCGCGTATAGAGATTTATTCCATCCCCGCTGAAATTCCAAGTTTGCCGGTACAAGTTTCCCTTTCGGGTCATCCGGTGTGACGTTCTCGTTTCCTGCCGAGGAGCCCCTAATCCCGTTAGTGCGAATCCTCGTAAGGGAAATTATCACGGACACGCACGCACGCGCGCACACAGCCCTCTCGTTTCGCGCGCGATCGCAATGTTAAGAAGAGACGCGCGTCTCGACGCAATCTAATATTACTAAGGCGCTGCATAAATAATACACTTAAGTACCTCGCGTACTCGCGCCGAAACGCCTTGATAATGAACTTTCGCGATACCCGCGCAACTCGCTGCATTAATAATAACTTCAGTATTGTTCCCGGATAAGACACTTATGTCCTCGTCCCCGCGTAAGAACCGACGAGAAGAACTTGTTGTAGTTCGACGGCAACTTCGATCCTCCCATGTAAGTGATTACCAGTGCGGCACCTGAGGATTCTCCGCGCGCGCACGGGGACATGTCTCTCTTCGTGGGAGCCGCCGGGCACCTCTATGTCCCGAAACGTCGAAGTTAATTCCGCGTTCGCTCGGTATCAATGCGCCGGCAAACTCTCGAGAAACACGCGCGTGCGCGCGGAAACGCCGCGGGTATCAATGTTTAAGCGGAATCTCAGTCGTCGTTTCTTGCACCGAGCCGAGTCGGGGGACAAACAGCGGCGTTATTGCAACAGTATCTAACGTAATGTGTCCGCTTAAATATTTGATTTATCCGAAATCGATGCGCGGTGCGGGGGAGGAGGGGGGGGGGAATTCGACTCTGTCCCCCCTAGGGGCGGACATTCGTGGGGAGGAGGACCCCTGCCTCAACCTTACGTTCACCGCCAGGGTGGCGCGCACCGCCCGTTCAGGCGACGAGCGCTTAGTAATCTTGTCGTTATTACGCTGCGTCGCTACATTGTGCCATTCGTGTTTACGCCCCGCGGCGTGGGGCGCGGTTGAAATGTGATTACGACGACTGAATAATTTCATGAACGATGAATCTAGCGCGTATGCGCATTCGTTCGCTCGCGCGCGCGATGCGATTCCGTATCGTCGGGACTGCATATTTTACGTTTAGATTAATTAACAATCAGCCGCAACGTCGCTCGTTACCGATTGTAACGCAATTTGTACATCGAGCGCGCATAGACGCGAAGCCCGGTGCGCCGCTTTCAATGGTCTTGCACTCTTAACACTCGCGCGTACACACACACACACACACACACACACATGCACACACGGTTGATAATGACTCACATACAAACTGATGCGCTGCTAATTTTGTGAAATAGTGGTTAATTATGCGCGATTATTCTAACAGGCATTAATATCGCTTCGATTATCGCGTACGCTCAATTCATTCTAATGCAGAGCCTCCGGCTGCGGCAGCCAGAGGCTGCGTTCCGAAACAAATATCGCGCGCACATTTAACACGGTCAGATCAATTTATCACGATACGTTTGCTTGATCCCGCCTGTCAATTCGCGCCGGACGGTTATGCTGCCGTTGCGCTTTCTTTTTCCTTCGATGTGGCACGAAATGGAGGGAAATCGTGCGTCGGCCGATTTTCAGCGCGTTTTCCCAGACTCGTCGGATTAATAAAAGTTTGCAATCTTCTCGCTATCGGCTATATGCACGGTTATCGAAATATTTAATGCCGAAGGAATTATCCGTAACCCGCGCGTCCAGGAATCTGTGATTACGGTAAAACTTTGAGGTTCCGCTCACATTCTTCTCGTGCATATGAGTTTCCCCGGGCGGGAAAATGGGAGAAGCGAACGCAGAGAGAGACAGAGAAGGAGATAGGGAAGAGGAGATAGAGAGAGAGAGAGAGAGAGAGAGAGAGAGAGAGAGAGAGAGAGAGAGAGAGAGAGAGAAGGGAGCGCGAGCAACGATGTAAATTTCTCATTCGCCGCATCCCCGGCCGCCTAGTCCCGGTCTGAAAATAATTTATGTATATGCGGCTTTCTTGGGTTTCAGGGGAGCATCCGGCGGCCATGCAGCACGGGAACTCCAGCAACAGCGGCGCGGCCACGAGGACGCTGGCGTTGCTCCTGTTGCTCTTGCATGCCGGCTCCTTCGCGAGGTGACTGGTCGATCACGAGGAGCTGCAGTGAGAGAGTACGGCCGACGATACTTTCAGCCAGGCGATCCAGACGACGAGAGGGGTGGTGCGAAGGAGAGATCAGGGGGAGACCGCGGAGCACCATCCGCGTTAGCCACCTGCCGGACTCCATAAATCAGCCCGATCTTCTTTTTTCCCCGCACTGTCGCGATCGACTCGCGCCGTCGAGCGGAGGGGGTGTGCGCGAAGAGAGCAGGCGAAGGAACAGAGGGCGAGATGCGACCAGAGAGTTGTCGCGTCGAGCTAGGCGCGCAAGGAGAGCACGAGAGAGAACCTATTCTCGCCCTCGCCGGAGCTTCCGGAGCACGGAACTTTAGCGGTCCCGCGCAGTCCGGTTGCTTGACTCTTTACCATCGAGCACAGCCGTCGCCGTGCCGCGCGTGTTCGTAGCCGCGCGTTTCCTCGCGAGGTCGAGGAACGCGCACGCGAGTGAACGCGATCGAGCGAGTGACGGCACTCGCGGACGATGACGATGGAGACGGGCGAGACGCGTCAAGAGCAACATGGTAGCGACTGTCAGCCCCGGGTACGAGGCGACGTGACACCAGGCGTCTTCCACGAGAACGAATGACTTCTCTCTTTGCTCTTCTCTCTGCCTCTCTCTCTCTCTCTCTCTCACACACACACACACACACACACACACACACACACACACACACACACACACGTCGACGCGGCCGTGGGGACGGAATTAGCATTTCTTTTCCACGGACGCGAGCGCGTGCGGAGACGTAGAAGAGATCTATCAATCCATCTATTCATCTATCGAGGAAACGCGGCAACTGTGGCTTTGAGCGTGGAGCTCGTGCTGAGGTAAGAACCAACTTGTTTTCGTGCGCTCGGTCGGGCCGGCCTGACCCAGAATACTCCGGCAAAACCGCCGCGTGGAATTCTACTCAATTTCTAGTCGTCGGATGCGGCGCCGCTTCTTCCGCGGAGAACAAATATTTTGAGGTTCGCAGCAGCGGCAGCCGCCTTCGCGCTCGCGCAAACTTGCCAGAAGTGTGTATGTAGAGTAAGAGAGAGAGAGAGAGAGAGAGGGAGAGAGAGGGGGGGGGGGAGGAGGAGGGAGAGGTAGACAAGAAGCTTATAGCCTCATGTCGCCGTGTCATACGACTGTCTCGTAAGCCGCCGGATGCGCGCTCCGAGAATTCGCTGAAACTTTCCGTCACCGGTTCCCTCCCTATCTCTTTCTCTCTGCCTCTCTCTCTCTCTCTCTCTCTCTCTCTCTCTCTCTCTCTCTCTCTCTCTCTCTCTCTGTGATGCAATTCCTTTCCAATCGACCGCGGATCAGCGGCCGTGTATGCCGCGTAATCTCGCGTCTCACGATGGAATCTTCTCAGATCGGAATAAGCGAGCGCTGAGAGAGATTCGAAATTAAAATATGCCCCGCGACGTCTTCTTTTCTCTCCCTCCAAATTCACGATCCAGCTCAACGATTCGCCTCGCGCGTCTTGTGCCGCGTAACAAACGACTAATTTCGCTGGCCGTCGCTGTAAAAGATCGCGCCGCGAGTGGCGAGCGGGGGAGATAAAGTGACGAGGCAACGTGGGGACGATATAAATTCGTCGCACGCTCACGGGACCGCGAAGATCGCGACGACGACTTTCCTCGGGCTTGGCTTGGTACGTCGCTCGAGAGAGAGAGAGAGAGAGAGAGAGAGAGAGAGAGAGAGAGAGAGAGAGAGAGAATCTTGTCGGATAAATATTTCCTTTAAACCATCAGCCCGGGCCCGCCTACCCGACTCGGACCAAACGGAATCGGCTACGACAATAATCGCTTTTCGCTTTGCGCGCTTCCAACGCGCTAACGCGCGCGAAACGAAAAAGCCGACGAAGTACCGCTGAATTATGCGCGGGTCGGCCCGCGCGAAATTCGTAGCTCGGCTACGTGGGACGGCCGCAGTTTCGCCCGGTGCGGCGTCCCATTTGCGTCTCAGGACGCGGGGATTTACGAGCCTGGGGGTCGTCGATCCCGCGCGCGAACGCGAGCGCGAACCACGAAGCTGTCGCTCGCGGCCGTGTGTGCGTGTATGATAGACTCGATAAGTTATACAACTAAACTCTCGACGTAGCATCGTTCGCGAAGGAGAGAGGGGGGGGAGGGGGATATATCGGCACGGTCGATACAGGGCGAATTGATGTGCAGTCTCGACGCGAGATACAATCTTGATTATGCTAAGCCAACCAGCGCGCGAGCTCGTGCTTTTAATTACGAATGCCGTTTCCGTTAATTAAGCGTGTTTCTTTGCCACGATCGAGCGGCTTTCAGACCGCTCCCGAACGCGTCCTCCTCCGCCTTCGCGTCGCGGCTCTTATCTCCGCGGACGGACGAAACAACGCGCGTCGTCGCCGCGCGATTTTTCCTCATTCGTGAACGCGCGCGCGCGGTTACTCATTCGTATGTGTACCCGCTCTTCTGAATGTTTCGTGTATATCTGTGCCTCGTATCTGTGTATCGAATCGAGATGCATTCTCCATCCGGGATTATCGAGATTGTATCGCCTCGCGCTGAACTGGGCGCGCTCGCAGTTAACGCGACCAGCTGACGCGGTCGGAATGTTCTTCGAATAAAGTTTCGCCCGACGTTCGCTTGCGGTGGCCGGATAGCGCTGTGCCCGGGAAATATATCAGTTCCCGAAAGTGACGTGGAAGTTTCCCTCGGAAACGGGGGAGGGAGCCGCGCGCCGGCGCGAGCACTCGCGATATTCCGGAAATGATTAATTCCAATTACTTGAAATCTCTCTCTCTCTCTCTCTCTCCCTCCCCCCCCTCCTTTCTCTCTCCCTCTCGATATTTCATCCGCCTCGCCATAATTACCCATCGACGCATTTTTCGACCCGAAGAATCAACACCTCGCGACTCTATCTCTGGCTGCGTCTCGCGTGCGTCTTCGAGACACGCGTAGTCACTCGGAGGGACGCAAATTGCAGGAGATCGACCGATGCGAAGTGGCTTCTGGCTTCGAAAGCGAGAACACAAAGCCTCGCTTTGGATGTTCAACTCGAATAATCGCAACAAACGCGCGTGTGAGAGAGAGAGAGAGAGAGAGAGAGGGCGCAGCTGAGAAAAGGAGGAAGAACAAGGAAGGAGAGAAAGAGAAAAGGAGAAAGAGCACGCGCGGTGCGGACGACGAGGGACGGTGCGCGCGGTTGCGCGCGGAATCGCTTGTTAACATAACGCTAAGCTTTAAGTGACTAAGGGAAAAAGAAAAAAAGCGTACTGGTCTATCCGTGTGTATACGTCGTCTCTCCATAGGTCTCCGACAGTGGGTTGGTCGGTAGCGGCACGCGACGATCCGAGGCGCGTTCTCGCGAAAGTGACGCGGCGTCATTCCGAATGATCACGCGGTGCACGCGCGCACACGCACACACGCACACATGTATACGTAGATACGCGCCATTTCCGCATTGGAAACGTGCGCGCTCGCATGCCTCGGTAAATATTCAACCATGCGACAGTGACAGAGTTCATCGGCGGCCGAGCGAATCGAACGGAGCGATCCCGCGCGCGCCATCGTTATTTAGTTTCATATCCGAGGGTCTCTTTCTTTCTTTCCTTCCATTTTGCCGCAAGTAGTGAAATCACACGCCGGCGCGGACGTAACGCGCTGCATTTTGCATCGGACGTTCCCCAATGGCGGAGTATCGGATTTTACCGGGTAAAAATGGGTTACGCGTGACTGTCGAGTACTGTATTCTCGCTTTCTCTCTCTCTCTCTCTCTCTCTCTCTCCCTCTCTCTCTCTCTCTCTCTTCCTCCCTCCCTCCCTCCCTCCCTCCCTCTCTCTCTCTCTCTTCCTCTTCCTCTCCTTCTTTTTTCTTTCTCTTCTGTCGTCGTTTCGCTCCTCCGGTAAACCGATACCATCCGTAACGGTCGTCTTAAAAATCGTTAATTATGAAACATGTCCGCGTAATGGACGTGTTACGGAGCGCCCGCAATGAGAAACCGAAGCAGAATACCGTTGTTTAATTTTATCGAAACGTCCGTGCGTCGCGATCGCGAACGGCTCGTGCCATTACAAATTTAGACGTGCCGTCGTTGTACGACCGTGTAACGACACGCTCGTTTCTGTTGCTCATGTTTATTTTCGGATTCGTTTCGCCAATTGTTTCCCGGGGATAGAGGGGTAAATCAACTATCGACAGAACAAACAGCACACTGACGTCATGAAAATTCGATAAGGCGTATAATAATAAGACTTAGAGAGAAAGAGAGAATGAGAGACATCTGTCTTCTCGAGACCTTCCCTCCTCTTCGAGTCCTTCTTCTCGAGACGATCCCTCTTTCTCTCTTTCTCTATTTTATCTCTCGTCGAGGACAATTTCCTCTCTGGAGAGCGTTGCTTTCAAAGGACTCGACACCGCCTCGGATCCGCGCGATTATCAGCAACGCGATCGACCCACGAATAGCCGTCGTACTGTACATACCTTCTTGAAGTGTAAACGATAAACGATCGCTGTAACTCTCTCTCTCTCTCTCTCTCTCTTCGGCACGACTAAGAACCACGATGTAACTCTTATTAATTCCTTAGAACGACCAAGTGCTTCGTCATCGCTGAAACGCGCGTGAATCGAATCACGCGAGACTCTCGTCGATATTGTCGACGATCGCGCGGCCGAGGGTTGTCGCGTTGATCGCGCGGCACCCCGGAAGGAAATCCTCGTAACGCGCCCTTTCCCCGCGAAGCGAGCACCGTCGCGTCGCAATGCCGAATCGTTTGATCGTCGTCACAATCACCTCGCGTCGGACGAGATCGATCGTTGCGGCCGAGAGAGGGAGAGAGGGAGGAAATCACTTTATAACACGCCGTGCGAATCGACCGTCGGTGTCAAAGACTAGGGATTAATTAACGAACATGCGACACAGCCTTGTAAATAAAAAGGAACGAGAGGTAAAGCGAGAAAAGGGGTCGTTTTCGGCCGCCATCGAGACTAGTCAAACGGTGTTCGCCCGTGCAAATCAGGGGTGCGCAAGATGAACGCGCGGAAATCTTCCGCTTAGAAAATCTCACGCTCGCCGTTCTCCGATCTCTTCGCGCGCGCGTCTCAGCCTTGATCCGAGTGAAGAACGAACGCGTGAATATTAATATCTCTCCGCGTGCCGCCATGCGAGGTTAGATCGCGTCGCTCTGGTTCTGTCTCACAGAAGTGAGACTTCAGTGGAAAAGCCCACGATGTGCTTAGCGACGTGTTGGAATTTCGCTCGGTGGATCGGACCAACCGCGACAGAATTTTGCGCACCTTTGAGTCCGTTAGAGTGTAGTTACTCGAGGAATACTCGAGAGAGGCGACCACCGCGTCTCTCCTGCGACGAGAGGAGAGAAGGAGGTGCGCGCGATAACGTGGTTGTATGTTCCTGGTGGAGAAGAGTTCCCACACGGCGAGGCGCACAATCCGTCGTCGTCGTCGTCATCATCGTCGTCGTCGTCGTCGTCGTCGTCGTCGTCGTCGTCGTCGTCGTCGTCATCGTCGAGCACGAGAGAACCAGTTTTGAAATATCACCGCTACCGTCTCACACCTCCCTTCCACCCCCTTGCGCCACCTTTTTGCCCCACCGGCACCGAGCTCTCTCTCTCTCCGCCGACCTTTTGATTCTTCCCTCCCCCCCCCCCCTCTTCCGCTCCCTCGACCTTTCCGTGCTTTTTTATACAAACGAGATCTGTCCTCGTTAGTACTTGTAAATGGCTTTCGCGCACGCGGCTGCCGGCTATTCCTACTCTCCTGCTTCTGTATATTCCGAAAAAGGATAAAAGAAAGGGAAAAGAGAGAAGAGAAAAGAAAAGAGAGAGAGAGAGAGAGAGAGAGAGAGAGAGAGAGAGAGAAAGAAAGAAAAAGAAGAAGAAGAAAAAGAAAGCGAGAGACGGACACGAACGCGAGCGCGATAATTGACTCTCGCACGCTTCCTCGAGCCTCGAGCTCGCGTCCGCGTCGCGAGAGCGAGAACGACTGGTAGCGAGTAAGTTAACCCGATTGTACGAGATCAATTACTGTTAGCACGAGCGATCAGCGTAACGCTCTTAGCGACACTACTCGAAGGATGTTAAATTAA